ACCTGAGGTGATCCACCTACTTCAGCCTCCCAAAGTGGTGGGATTACAGTATGGCGCTGGCCTCCTGTTCTCTCTCTTTCCCTCCAGGTATTGCTCTGTTGTCCAGGCTGGAGTGCAGTAGCATGATCATGGCTCACTGCAGCCACAACCTCCTGGGCTCAACGGATCCTCCTGCCTCAGCCTCCTAAGTAGCTGGGACTACAAGCAGGTGCCAACACATCTAGCTAATTTTTTTGTTTTTTGCTTCTGTGGAGACACGGTCTTGCCATCTTGTCCAGGCCTATCTTGAACTCCTGGACTCAAGAGATCCTCCTGCCTTGGCCTCCCAAAGTGCTGAAATTATAGGCATGAGCCACCATGCCTGGCTCAGAGCTTTCTTCATCATTGCAGAAAGTTCTACAAAACAGCCTTGAAGTAAATGATCATCTATTTCTTAGACAAGTTTTTGGTTAATCCAAAAATGACTATTTTTTCCTGGTGACATGCTTTTCATGTAATAAAGACTAACTAGACTTGATGTCAGCTCAAATGTGCAGGGAGAAAGAAATATAGAATGATTTATATCAAATGACTAGTACACCTATACCATCTGTACATTTCAGTAAAGGTATACCCATTTTATTATTTAAAAATACAAGTTACCATATGTGTGTTACTATTTATGAGGAAAGATCACAACTTTAATAAAGCATAAAGGAAAACTTTGTGTCTAATGCATATTCCTGCCTCAGGGAAATCTGGAATGAAAAGAGAGGGCAGGAAAATCCATTCCCAGAGTGGTAACTAAAAAAAATGTATCAAGTGGCTCTCAGGTTCTCTAAAAGTCTCCTTAAAAATAGCTATAGAAAAGCCTTTTCTAATTCCATTAATAAAATGAAGGCACTCAGGCACCTTCTAATTTGTTTTAAAAGAAAGCAGAAATCACTTGGCAAAATGAGCATTTTGGTCAATACTAATAAAATAACACTAAATATAATTTGTGAATTGTTATTATATTATGCTGCCTGGTTTAGCTGATTTAGAATACACTTTAGAATATTTATGATATATGACTTCAAGTGTATAATACATATTTGCACATATATGATTTAACATCTCATTTATTATTTCTAGTTTTAATAAAAGAGTACCACACCCTTCTTGGTCAGGAATATAAATTCATTTATCACAGTGTTTCTATAAGAAAATCAGACATATATTTACAGAACTTGTTCTAGGATGGTAACCTGTTATAACTTCAAAGACAACTTAAAATGTTTTTAGTATATAACTTTTCAAAGCTGAATATTTTCAAGCTACATCAATTTAAGTACATTTACAATAAAACACTACACTAGCAAGCATGTTAAAACAACACAGAATTTGCAACAGCAAACAAATTCTCCTATTAAAAACTTGGTCAACACTTCAAGTGTGCTAAGTAGCTCACTTATTTCTTCCAGCAATTTTTGGAAGTATGGACTGGCTCTAATTTACAATTGAAGAAACTGAGTTGAGATGAAGAAACTAAGGCTCGAAATGACAGATGACTTATGTAGGGTTATAGAGTTAGCTACTATAAAGGCAAGATTTGAACCTTGGTTTGGGTTTTTCTAAAACTTCATTAAGCTAGTCATGACAACTTCACAATTAATTTTTGGAGAAAAAGCTCCTCTCTTCATTCTTTCAAAAAACTTACTGTGCATCCATTATGTGCCAAGTATTATTTCTAAGTGTGGAGGATGCAAATGCTGAACCAGACAATGACCCCGTCCCCTTGAATCTAACATGCCAATGCGAGAAGGGGCATTCCAGCAGGGTTAGGAGCATGACCTAGCAGCTAGCTAGTCACTCAGGCTTAACGCCTAACCTACCATTAGTCAAGTTACTTTATCTCTCTGTGCCTACATTTTCTTGTTTAAAAGATAAGGATAAAAATAGTACTGACTCACTAGATTGCTCTGAGGATTACTAGGTTGATAAATGTAAAGCACACAATAAATGCTTTATTAGTGTTTGCTATTTTTATTATTGCTATGAGTATAGGGAGACAAATAAACATGCATATAAATTAATCAAGAGTACTATAGATACTGATGTGAAAAAAATGAAAAGCGGTCTTTGTTTCTTATTTTCTAGAGATTTTTTCCTAAAGTCACTTATAAAAGGTGATTAAAAAAAAAATCTAGGTCTTCAAGGATGCCCTCTCTCACCACTCTTACTCAATATAGTATTGAATAAGGGCAATCAGGCAAGAGAAAGAAATAAAGTGTATTCTATTAGGAAAAGAGGAAGCCAAATTGTCTCTATTTGCAGATGACATGATTGTGTATTTAGAAGACCCCAGTGCCTCAGCCCAAAATCGCCTTAAGTTGATAAGCAAATTCAGCAAAGTCTCGGGATACAAAATCAATGTGCAAAAATCACTAGCATTCCTATACACCAATAACAAACAGAGAGCCAAATCATGAGTAAACTCCCACTCACAATTCCTAACAGAGAATAAAATATCTAGGAATGCAATTTACAAGGACCTCTTCAAGGAGAACTACAAACCACTGCTCAAGGAAATAACAGAGGACACAAACAGATGGAGAAACATTCCATGCTCATGGTTAGGAAGAATCAATATCATGAAAATGGCCATGCTGCCCAAAGTAATTTATAGATTCAACGCTATCCCCATCAAGCTACCATTGACTTTCTTCACAGAATTGGAAAAAACTCCTTTAAATTTCATATGGAACCAAAGAAGAGCCTGCATAGCCAAGACAATCCTAAGCAAAAAGAACAAAGCCAGAGGCATCACACTACCTGACTTCAAACTCTACTACAAGACCACAGTAATCAAAACAGTATGGTACTGGTACCAAAAAAGATCTAATAGACCAATGGAACAGAACAGAGGCCTCAGAAATCAGGCCACACATCTACAGCCATCTGATCTTTGACGAACCTGACAAAAACAATGGGTAAAAATTCCCTATTTAATAAATAGTGTTGGGAAAACTGGCTAGCCACATGCAGAAAGCTGAAACTAGATCCCTTCCTTACACCTTATACAAAAATTAACTCCAGATGGATTAAATACTTAAACATAAGACCTAAAATCATAGAAACCCTAGAAGAAAACCTAGGCAATACCATTAGGACATAGGCATGGGCAAAGACTTCATGACTAAAACACCAAAAGCATTGGCAACAAAAGCCAAAATAGACAAATGGGATCTAATTAAACTAAAGAGCTTCTGCACAGCAAAAGAAACTATCATCAGAGTGAGTAGGCAACCTAGTGAATGGGAGAAATTTTTGCAATCTATCCATCTGACAAAGGGCTAATTCTAGAATGTAAAAAGAATTTAAATTTACAAGAAAAAAACAACCCCGTCAAAAAGTGGGCAAAGAATATGAACAGACACTCAAAAGGAGACATTTATGCAGCCAACAAACATATTTAAAAAGCTCATCATCACTGGTCATTAGAGAAATGCAAATCAAAACCACACTGAGATACGATCTCATGCCAGTTAAAATGATGATCATTAAAAAGTCAGGAGAAAACGAATACTGGAGAGGATGTGGAGAAATAGGAATGCTTTTAGACTACTGGTGGGAGTGTAAATTAGTTCAACCATTGTGGAAGACAGTGTGGCAATTCCTCAAGGATCTGGATCTAGAAATACCATTTGACCCAGAAATCCCATTATGGGACATACATCCAAAGGACTATAAAGCATTCTATTGTAAAGACACATGCACACGTATGTTTATTACAGCACTGTGCACAATAGCAAAGACTTGGAATCAACCCAAATGCCCATCAATGATAGACTGTATAAAGAAAATGTTGCACATATACATCATGGAATACTATGCAGCCATAAAAAAAAATAAGTTCATGTCCCTTGCAGGGATATAGGTGAAGCTGAAAACCATCATTCTCTGCACACTAACAAAACCAAACACTGCATGTTCTCACTTGTAAATGGTAGCTGAACAATGAGAACATATGGACACAGGGAGGGGAACATCACATACCATGGTCTGCTCAGGGGGTGGGGAGCTATATATACTTCAAACTGTACATATATACTTTGATTACAAGGCGACAGTAATCAAAACAGTATGGTACTGGTACCAAAAAAGATCTAACAGACCAATTATCTAATATATATACATGTCTTAATTAATTTATTCTATAAATACTGGCTGAGTGTCTACTTAATTTATCCAGCACCATGCTCAGTACTAAATAAGACAAACATGTAGCTTCCTCATGAAGTCTAGCAAGGAAGACAGATAGTAAATAGATAATTACTATCTGTAATAATATAATACACAAATAATATAATTAATCTAGAATAAATCAGTAAATGGAAGTATACAATCAGAACCCTTAATGGACAGCCTAACCCAGTTCAAAGATTACAGGAAGGACTGCCTGAGGAAGTTACATTTAAATGCCTGGTCATCTGGATAGCCCTGGCAAAAAAGGCTATAATTAGCGAGATGGGAAACAGAACATCTTAGCAGTTTTATGGACCCTAGGTAGAGAAAACTGAATAGAGGAGAGGAAAAAGTATTTTTTAATTTTGTTTTTCTATTTGTACCAAGACTATTAACAAGTATCCAGAATGAATGACTTTTCATTAGATAACAGTCTTGGTTTATAAAACAATGTGGAAAACCGAGAATCATTTCATTTTAGATTAATAACAATTCATATATCTTTCCTAAAGACTACCATCAGTCCAAGAAAGGTCAACCCAAACAAAATATTTGTCAATTACAGGCACCAATGAACATCCTCGCACTTATCTAGCAAGGTCTTAATGCTTCAAATTTTGGTTCTAACGTCTACATCTACAGTTTATTTGTAGGTAGTAGCTGCTGAATTTCCAAGGGAGCAAAAAAATGAGATCACTTTTCCCGACCCTCAAGGATCTTATTTAATCATTTGGTTGAGCAAACAGAGGATATCAAAAGATAAAAAAAAAGAGAAGAAGAAGAGAAACACTTACGGAGTCCACAATCTTGGGAAAGCGTCTATTTCTTCTTGTGTGTACTCATCCAGACGTTTAGGTATTTTTCGTGGTTGTGGAAGCTCTTCCACTAAATTCTTAAGAATATCTTCTGGAATATCCTACATTAAAAAAATTTAGACTTAATTTTTAAAAAATATCTTTCTTAGCAATAAATTACTAATAGTAAATTTTAAAAAAATGAGCAAAAGAATGCTCACAGAGTAAGGAAAATATAAAGTCTTTAAAATAAAAACCTTGTAAAAATTCTCAAAAAGCACATTAGATTAATAATACACGTAATCCCATAATAATAAGATACCTATTTTTAAAAAATATGTGTTTATTTCCCTCTTTTCAATTGCAAAAAGACACTGTTGTAGCTCATTCTCATGCCTGGTCATCTGAAGAGTATATGTACTGGGTCTACCAGGTCTAGTGCCACTACCTTTCAATCGGTGCTTCAACTGTGGCCAGAAAAAATTTTGAAAATAAAAATCTCTGAGTCATTTATTTACCTAAGAAACATTTAGTGAACTTCTGAGAACTAAAAATTGTGCTACATGCTGGGTATATAAAGGAAAATAAAAAGATCATGCCTTCTAAAGGCTTATATTTTTGAAAAGTCACCTCTCAGCTTAAAATCTTTCAGGATAAATCTTTAACTCCTTTGCTAAACCTGCTTAGCTAGACAGTGTCCTTACCACTAGTCCATCTTTCAAACTTCACTTCTCCACACACATACACCCATGGTTTCTATCAACCTCCTCATCTTTCATGTGTTTCTCTAGACTCAAATCAAGGTATCTTTATTTGTATTCCCCTGACCAGAACCACGTCCCCCTATTATGTATCCAATGTTCAGAAAAATGAAAAGAAGAGTTGGAAGATTGACCTGCCATCAGAATGAACTGCAGTGGAGAAAAGCTGGAGACAACAACAGTTAAGTGGCTGTTTTAGTAATCAAGGTAAGATTTTTTAGTTTGAATTTAGATGGTGAAAAGCACACTAAAGAGTAAAGCACATAGCTAAGACATTTTAAAAGAAGAAAGCATTGGAATTAGACAGACTAAAAAGGAATGATAAAATGAAGAGTGTGCGTAACCAAAAGAATGAACATTTATATTGTACTCATGGGGCAGAAATAAGGAACATGGGAGAATGAACTGTACTGTGAGACTGGATGATAAATTAAATTTTGGGAACTCTATTGAAATAATGGTAAGGTATCAATATGGAAGTGTCTTATAAGCATTCTTATAAGGAGAATACATGTAATTCCCTCTTCTCATTAGTGTGCACAGAAATTTTCAATAAAAGTATTATGATACAGTAATTTCAGTTCTCCACAGAGAGCACTGTTACAAGTGGGAATCCAATATCTGGCCAAGGACATGGCATCAAATAAGGCATCGTTTTGACGAATTCTTAAGACATGTTGTCTTAAGACATATTGTCTTGAGAAACAGAATAAAATTTTATAATAACTTTAGGATCACAAAGCTTTACTGTACTGTAAGCTTGTTCTAAAACCCAATATAGCAAAATATTTATACTATTTTAAGCAATTTAAATACATTTTACAAATTGTGGTTTGGATAGGCTGAGTCACTGTCAACATATACAAAACACATAGATACTATTGATAACGTGCTTCTTCACTTAAAAGCATTTAACAATATTTAACATCCTGTCACCTGTCCTTTTCACTTCCTCGGTATATTCAAATCTGTAAGTATAATTACAGAGAGTCAGAGCTTCCTCTGCTCCAAATCGTGAATCAATCAGTTCTCCAGTTTATTATAATGTCCCTTCTTTCCAAGGATAAAAAATTGCCAATCAATCAGTTCTCCAAAGTTCCTTTTGGTAGGGAAACAGCACGTGGAAAACAAGATGTGGGAACTAGTTATGCTCAATTCTATTGGTGCTGTCATTTTATTTTTCTAATATATAAAATTTTAACATGAGTAACATAAAAAATAAATTTAAAAGATAGTGTCTGAAAAAATCTCATTCTTTTCTTATTTCTTTGTACCTATAGTTTAGTAGTAGCCAGCCTTCTCATTTATTCTTCCTGTTCTTCTTTATGCAAAAAGAAGCACACAGAAATATATGCTTGTGTGTATGTAAACATACATATGTGTTTATGCATATAAACGTAGTATGTCATCTACATTCTTTTTTACCTTGTTTGTTTTCACTTAACATATCCTGGAAAGCACAACTTAACAAGTCACAAAATATCTGTCATTCTTTTTTTTTAAAAAAATTGCACAGTAATCGATAATTTATTTCCTATAAATAAGCATTATTTTTCTTATTGTATCATTATGAATACAGCGAAAATAATCATGTGCATGTCTATTTCCAAGATGTATTTTTATAAATGAGATTGCTGGATCAAGGATCAATTTCCTGATGTATGTATTTTTGTTAAATATTACCTAGTTAATTCCCAGGATTCCAGATGAGCTGTACCATGCTGTGCTACCATCAACAATGTATGAGTGTGCCTGTTTCTCCAATGGCCTTAACCAAATGTACTGTCAAGCTTCTGAATATCTGAACTGGACTCATTTATTTTATAGTCTGAAATTAAGTAATTTCCTATTTAAACTACCATGAATACTTAAAATATCTAAACTCAAACCTATCTTGTAAATGAAATAAATATTATTTTTGTGTCTTTTAGAAATTATGGTTTCTACCAAGAAATGTGGCAATACAATCAGAAACAGGAGTTCTTAAATTTTTGCAATTTCATAATGAAGGTATCCTTGGATGATGATACTGCTACCATACATGCTACCTTAGAGGTAAAGTTAATAGTAGAAAATTATTCTACTTATTCATTTATTGCAAAGAAAATAAATTAATCATTTTGATAAAGCATATATAATGTACTCATTATTGATAACTATTTGTGTGCTGTTTAAGCTAACAATAAGAGCACATGAGTAGCATGAACAATCATTATAACCCGATATTCTGGAATAAATTTCTTTTATGAGACAAGAGTCTTGCTCTGTCAGAAGGCTGGAGTGCAGCGGCATGATCTTGTCTTACTGCAACCTCCACCTCCAGAGTTCAAGCAATTCCCCGGCCTCAGCTTCCCTAGTAGCTGGGACTACAGTTGTGTGCCATGATGCTAAGCTAATTTTTGTATTTTTAGTAGAGATGGGGTTTGAACATGTTGGCCAGGACAGTCTCGATCTCTTGACCTTCTGATCTGCCTATCTCGACCTCCCAAAGTGCTGGGATCACAGGCGTGTGCCACCAGACCTGGCCTTTCTGGAATAAATTTCTACATTATACCTTCAGGATGAACAAGAATGACAATTATAACCATGGTAATGACAGCTACAGGCACTTATTGTGTCAGGCCCTGTTCTAAGCAATCTACCAGTGTATTTTATTTAATCCTTACAACAATCTTATAAAATAGGTACTATTATTATGTCCATTTCACAGATTAGAAAACAGAGATAAGTAACGAGCCCATGTCCACGCAGTCAGTGAATAATGGAGCACAGATTCAAAGCAAGGCAGGCTCTACTGCACTCAATTATTTTACTATAGAAGCTTTAGTATTTCATTATATTGTATTAAGGAGAAAAGTCCTTAAAACAATATAATACTAATAAATAAAAGTGTTTATACTTTTTTCCAAGTAATTTTTAGCAGAATCAATTATGAGTATGAACAAGTATTCTAAAGTTAAATCACAGAAATAATAACAACCAAAGTTAAGCTATTAATCCATGATTCACAGAAGTTTTGCTACTGGTCACATAAAAGCTGAACTAAATTAACACTTTTTCATAGTGAATGACATTATCAACAAGTACCATAACAGGGGTTCTGATCATAGCTCCTTGTTCAAAAGCAAGCAGTGATTAAAATAAAATTTAAGGTTCATTTTATGTTTTAAAATATTAATAAAATTATCATTTTTATACATATATATTCACTTTAAAAATACAAAAATATTTCAGAAGTTGATATAAAATGTTTGAAAATAAGTTTGTGGCATTTATTCAAAAAGAAAAGAAAACATTTAATTGAAAATTTTGGAAAAGCATTGTTACCAATGACCACTGACTTACCTCATCTGGGAAAAGATGCAACCTTTGCATCATTGTTCTTCTGTGAAGGTTTTTTGGTAGCATGCCATAAATAGCTAGTTTTACAATCTGAAAAACAGCATACATAGGACACAATAAGAAAACTGTGACTTGGGATAGTAAGAAAGCAAACATAATTAGAGATAAAGATGAAAATGAGGGGTTTCGATTCAACATGAATATAGAAAAGAAAAAGACATAAGTGGATATGTGGAAGCAACAGAAAAGAAACTTTTATTACTTTGTAATTAAATTTTTTTAAATTCTTTAAATTTTTTGGCTCCATTTTTTTTTTGCAAATTATTTTTTTGGGCTCAATTTATTGTTTATTTAGAAAATGAAAAAAACAGGAGATTAAAAATAACCTTCATATGTGCCAATTTTAGATAAAAATCATTGATTGTTATCATCTGCACTCATATAATTTGATGTGTATTAAAGCTAAAGCCACTGAAACACAGCATGTTAGAACAGGGTTACATTGTAAGAGGCCTTTTTATTGCTTTTATTCTCTCATCAAATCAGACTACAAAGTCTCATTACATGCAAAAGCTAATGGGATACCATACATTTTCCATCTATTTTCTATTTTCTCTTAGTATTAAGACTTTATGTTTTTGAGACATCATTTAAATATACATATATATATATATATATATATATATATATATATTTATGTTGTTGTTGTTAAAATTAAAAGCAATTAAAAATTTAGCTCCTTAGTCACAAAAGCCACATCTCAAGCGGTCAGTTGCTATGTGGCTAGTGGCTACCATGTTTGACAATGTAGACACAGAATATTTCCATCATGGCAAAAATTTCTGCTGTATAGAACTGATTTAGTTACTAGCATTTAAATTTTTCAAAGTTTTAAAAGTTGTAACTGAAATTGACAATGTTAAGACTATTCAGCATCTTTTCTGGATAAGCAAGTAATTACATACTCTGAATATCATCCTAAAGGCAATTTTATTGTATTAGTAGCCTTACATGGCATTTGATTTTCACATTTGTAAAAAATTCAGTTGTATTTATTTGAATTACTAAGTTGGTATTTTAAAAATCTGCCCTATTAGAAAATGCAAATACCACACTCAAATTTAAAAAACCTAGAAGATGTGAAAAGATTATATGCTAACAGGGAGGAAAAAAGGTAGACATACAAATGTATGTAAACAAAGAAATACACATGAAACAACACATACATGTGAAAAAGTGATTCTAGCTGTATAGACATGAAGTATAAGTTTTAAAAAATTCAGAAAATAAAAAATATAGAACAAGATAAAGTTAGTAAATACTGAAGACCTTCCTCATATACTCATATCCCAGGGCACATGTCATTTGTGTCACAGAAGTAACTTTATTATATATAGGAAGGGGGGAAATCAAATAGAGAAACTATGTTAGAAGAAAATATAAGGACACAGAACCTCCTAAAGAAACTAAAACATATGACAGAAAGAAAAAACACATAAGGAAAGGGCTAAATTGGTATATTTATTTGAAATTAGAATATCTACATCACTATGAAAAATTTAAAATATTTAAAACTATTACCTATTTAACTATTAAATATTAATTAACACATTTCACAAACAATATTCCAACCCTCTGCTAATAATCAGAAGGCTGCATTGCCAAATAAATTCTCTGACAGGTCACACACAGTAAGTACTGATAGGCAAATTATGGCTACTGGCAGAGGCCGACTATTCTAGACAAACACTTAGTATTTGAATTAAAAGTAAATAATAAATCTCTTCCTCGACAAGCCATTCTTTTTCAAAACATAGTAAAAATTAGTCTTAAAAAATTAAACTCCTTTAATAAGGTCATAATCCAAATGGATTTAACTCTGAAATATTTCCTAAGCCTTCCTAAAACATTTTACAATCCATTTCAGTCTGTTCATAAATAGTCATTTAAAACACTTTCTACAAATGTTACCTAATACCGATTTTTTAACATGAAAAAGTTTTACTATACTGCCTCCCAGTGTAGTTAACATAAAATAGAAACTTTCATTTTAACATTCCAAATATTTATAAAGTATTAAAAGTATAATTTTATTGTAATGGCTGTATATATTATCAACAGCCCTTACAACTCTTAATATTATTATATGCAAAAAAATATATACTTTGACCTGTAAGGCTTAAAAACACACTAGTTATGAAACAAAACATTAAATATTTCCTAAGAAGCAAACTCTGAGCACACTTTTACAAAACAGATATAAAGAATACAAAATAAACAGTAAGTCATGGAACTTCTAAATGGTGTATCAGGCCTTACTGTAATAAAATATCCTTCTCCCCAATCCTACCAAGAAAATCTTACCAAGAAAATCCTACCAAGAAAATCTTACCAAGAAAATCCTACCAAGAAAATCTTACCAAGAAAATCCTACCAAGAAAATCCTACCAAGAAAATCTTAGGCAGTACTGTGCCAAATGGTTGCATCCTGACAATATATATTTATTTTTATTCATTATTTTAGGAAAACAAAAAGGGATATTTTCAGGTCTAACACTTAGCCAACTTATTAATGTATTGCAGTAAAAAGATAAAATAGTCTCTAATAGGAAAAAAATGCTATCTATCCTGTGAGTAAAGTTGAAAGGTCAGGTCTATCAATAGTAAAAGGAAAAATAAATCGTAAAATAACAAGAGACTTTGCTTTTAGAAAAATTGGTGATTAATGTATGAATTAGAACTTCTTCCAGTATATAACTCAAATAATACATAAAGTAACAAACATTAGCGAAGCTAATAATATTGTTTATTTAAATATTTTTTAACGTATGAAACAAAACTGACCTCACAAGGTTTTGAGGCCCCAAATTCATCCTTTTTGCAGGGATCAAAATCCTCTAGGTCTAAAGTTTAGCTTAAGGAAATCTTAGGTTGGTATAGCTGCATGCAGTTGCCATAAGCTAAGTGAATCTTTTTTGAGGAAAATCATTTTTAACATAGATCTTAAAGAATTCTCAGAGATGAAGTTTCAAGGTACATGAGCCTATCAAGTATACTGAGCAGATATTATAAACTGCAGACCTACAAAGGCCACAAATACTAGAATTATATATAAATGCTAAGAATTATGTTTAATAAGCATAAAGAAATACAAGAGTGAACCAAAACATGATAAAGAAACAGAAGACTATCAAAACTGACCGGCAGATTTGAAAAAGAACGAAATAATAAAACTTTAACAAAGGGAAAAAAGTTAATTGAAATTAGGACCTCAGAAAAAGGTTAATGAGATTAGAGACAGGTGAAAAGATATGGAACCAGAACACAGATCTAAAGAAATTACTGAGAATGCCCCACAGAGACAGTGAGACATTAAGTATGAAAAAAAGGTCCTGAATCATGTACAATAAAATGCAACTGTCTACTCTTATTATAACCAGATTTCCAAAGGGAAGAAACAGAGAATAGAGAGACAGACCCAATATTAGAAGATTTAAGAGCTAACACATTTCCATAACTGAAGACACCAGTCCTCACACCAAATAAATAAGACTCCAGTAGAAAGATACGAAAACCAAAGACAATGAAAAGGTCTTAAAGATATCCAGAAAAAAAAGAAGAGTACGCATAAAGAAACAATTAAATTGACATCTGATTTACAAAAGCAGTAATAGAAGCTAAATTCCAGATGTAATAGCTTCAAAAAGCTGAGAGAAAAAAAGTAATGGTTATCTTAGAATTTCATGTATAGCAAAACTATGTTTCAAGAATGAAAGCAAAAATAAACAGTTTCAGACAAAAAAGGTGAGTTCAGTGCTAAGAGAATGTGACTACTATATGAATGCCAATAATAAGTTCTTCAAGGAAAAGGAAACTGATACCAAAAGGCAGGCTGAGTTACAAGGAGGGATTGTAAGAAAATAAAATTTAAAAATATCAATAACAGAATAAAACAATAACAAGAATGTTCAATTGGAAGAGGTTTTTTTTTTTTTTTTTTTAAATCTTCAACAAAGAAAGCATGGAGATGGGGAAGGAAGGTGGTAGTAAAAAATCTTCTAAGGGCTTTCATTGATTAGGAAGGAAGGTAAAAATACTGATGAACTTTAGACCTATAACAAATCAATTCACACCATCCTAAAAGAAGGCAATAAAACAGGAAAAAAAAAATCTAGCTACATGATGTTGACAATAAATACATCCGTAATGAAATAACTCAGTCAAGTTTAAACAATGAAATGTATGAGGCAAACACTGATCAAAAGTCAGCTAATGTAGTTATATTAATATCAGAAAAAATAGACCTCAAGGTAAAAAGCATTACTGGGGATTAAGAGGATCAGTACATATTAACTCTGATCAATTGTTTAGAAGGATTATAATTCCAATCTTAAATTCATCTAACACTAAACCTTCAAAATACATAAAGAAAAAGTTGACAGGAAAAAAAAAACAAAAAACAAGCAGGGTGTCTATAGTCACAGCTGTTTGGGAGGCCACAATAGAAAGATTGTTCGAGTCCAGGAATTGGAGTCCAATCTGGGCAATATAGCACAACCCTGTCTTTAAAAACACAAATTAAAAATAGAATAATGTCTGAGTGTGGTGGTTCTCCCCTGTAATCCCAGCACCTGGGAGGCTGAGGTTGGAGGATGGCTTAAGCCAGGGAGTTTGAGACAAGATTGGGCAACATAGGAAAACACAGTCTCCACAAAACATTAAAAATTTTAGTAGGGTGTGGTCATGTGTACATGATTGGAAATACCTATCAAAAGACCTATAAATGATCACTCCTTTGATCTTGAAATTCATTACACTTCCAGAGATTTATTTTAAATAATCCTACATATATGGAAAAAGTCAATGGATCAAGATGTCACAGGATACAAAATCAACCAGCTACTTGAGAGGCTGAGGTAGGAAGATCCCTTGAGCCCAGGATTTTGAGGCTACAGTGAGCTATGATTGTGCCACTGTGCTCTAGCCTGGGTGACAGAGTGAGAATCTGTCTTCAAAAAGATAAAATATAATACAATAAGAGAGATATATTTTTAAGAACTTTATTTTTTTCAAGAAAAAAATGGACCGACCTGTAAGAATAAATCTATAATTGAGATGTTAATAATAAACTCTGAGAAAAAACAATATTCAAGTTAGCAAAAAAAAGTAAGAATATAAAAGGAATGTACTTTGCATGTTTGAAAATATAGGTAAATGCAAGAGACTTACTGCCACTGGATCCTTCAGGTGAAGCTGAGCAGCTGTTACTTGTCTAAATCCACCTGGGTAGCTGTTAAAAGAAGCAAAGACATTAAAACTGGGCATAGGCTGATATTGTATGATTAAACTGATCATTCTTTTATAATAAGAAAATATTTTAATAAATTGTTTCTGAAAACTATGCTGTTCATTAGTGTTTTCAAAATTAGGTAGTAATCTAGGCTTTTAAAAATGTTAAATGGTCAACTAACATTACATCATAAAGAGTTCTACTTCTTGAAAAAATGTATTGGCATAAGTATATTTCTATCTAAATTTTAAGTTATTAATTCACCCACTCATTATGGGGTAGTTTATTACTATTTGATTTAACAAGCCAGAATATTTCATGTTCCTTTCCAAATTAGATAAACTGTATAAGCTATGGGTTAGGTCTGGGGAAAACGTTGGTAGACACTTGGTTCTGATAACAAGTTCTTACTCTAGACAGCAAATAACCATGTTTCCCATTAGCAGTTTGTAAAGGTCTCTAAGTGCTATATGTTGGCTCTAAGTAATACAGTATTTCATTGTGTTCAGATCAATTATTCTTTATAAATGAAAAAAGAGGCAATTACAAAATATACATTGAATAGTACTGAAAGCAGCTTAGCTTCTTAAGAGGCAGATCTGGAATCTAGGTTTTGTCGGTGACCACAGAGTAATATTAGGCAACTGATTTTACTTCTCTGCATATCATTTTACTCATATGAAAAAAATGATACTATCTACCTCACAAGATTTCTGAGTCAAATGAAAAAATATTTGTGAAAGAGACTGGGCAATTTAAAACAAAAACAATAAATACATAGTTGTAAGGTTCTATTATCCTAAATAGATAAACAAAGTCCAAATGATTTTCAAGAAGGGGAAAAAATTGGAAAGTCAGCATGGAGTCTGTAAAAAATCTTAAGATTACCTAAATGTGATTCTTTCCATATGTTCCCTTCAATAAAATTTGAAATATATTTTAAAGATGATTTAAGTAAACACGTTTTAGAAATAAAACTTATCAAAGTTAGAAGTTTGCTGAGAAAGATGCGTAACTTTAAAATTGATATTCTCTTTTTTCACGGAATTTCAGTTTTAGAAACAGAAATGCCTGTCTAGACTTCTTTATTCCTACATTCTTTCTCTCCACGGGGAAAAAAATACAATTTCTATGCTAAAAGATGATCTTCCTAGTTTGAAAACTGAGATGGCAAATTCTAACATACCATTGACAATATATTTCAGAAGTTTGGACTTTATTCTGAAGTATTTGGAAAGCTAATGTAAAATTCTGAGCAAGGGATGACTTGAGTAATGCAACATTCAACTGATTTTTACTAGTAAAAAATAACTACATTCTTTCCTCCAGTATGGGAAGGAGTAAGAGAAAATTTGTTTTAAATTCTGGGCAAGGGTTTTTCATTGAAATTAATTCAACAAACACTGAATGCGCATCATGCTGAACAATGAAACTTCATTATTATCTAAATATAAATATCCAGCTGCATATCAAAAGACAACAGTCTTATTATCATCAAATTATTTTTTAAGATAATACTGTGCCTACACAGATTTGGGATAACAAACGTTTGTCTGCTCTCCTATGCTTTAGTAAACTAATGATTGGAAATACCTATCAAAAGACCTATAAATGATCACTCCTTTGATCTTGAAACTCATTACACTTCCAGAGATTTTAAATAATCCTACATATACGGAAAAAGTCAATGGATAAAGACATCACAGGATACAAAATCAATGTGGAAAAAGCACTAGCAAAAAAATCACTAGCATTCCTAGACACCGACAACAGTCACACTAAGAGTTAAATCAGGAATGTAATCCAGCTCACAACTGTCACAAAAAGAATAAAATACCTAGGAATACAGCTAACTAGGAAAGTGAAAGATCTCTACAAGGAGAACTACAAACTACTCCAAAGAAACCAGAGATGAAGGCCAGGTGTGATGGCTCAATTCCTGTAATCCAAGTATTTTGGGAGGCTGAGGTGTGAGGATTGCTTGAGCACAGAGGTTCAGGATCAGTCTGGGCAACACAGCAAGATCCCAACTCAAAAGAAAAAAATCTTTTTTTTAATAATCAAAAGAAATCAGAGATGAGACAAACAAATGGAAAAACATTTCATGCTCATGGATAGGAAGAATCAATATTGTTAAATTGGCCAGACTGCCCAAGGAATTTATAGATTCAATGCTATTCCTGTTAAACCATCACTGAGATTTTTCACAGAACTAGAAAAAATATTTCAAAATTCATATGGAACCAAAAAAGAGTCCAAATGGCCAACGCAATCCTAAGCAAAAAGAACAAAGCTGGAGGCATTATGCAACCCAGCTTCTAACTATATTACAGGGCTACAGTAACCAAAACAGCATGGTAGCGGTCAAAAAACAGACACACAGACCAGTGGAACAAAACAGATAACCCTGAAATAAGACCACATGCCTACAACTACACGATCTTCGACAAACCTGACAATAAAAAGCAATGGAGAAAGGATTCCTCATTCAAGAAATGGTGCTGGGAGAACTGGCTAGCCATATTAAGAAAACTGAAACTGGACCCCTTCCTTATACCACATACCCACAGTTAACTCAAGATGGATTCCAGTCTTAAATATAAAACCCAAAACTATAAAAACCCTGGAAGACAACTGATGCAATGACATTAAGAAAACAGGTGACAATCTGCCAAGACGGCTGAATTGGAACAGCTCCGGAGCGCAGTTCCCAGCGAGAGCAACATAGAAGGTCAGTCATCTCCCCATTTCCAACTGAGGTACCACATTCATCTTAATGGGACTGGTTGGACAGTGAGTATAGCCCAAGGAGGGCAAACCGAAGCAGGGGGGGTGTGGCCTCACCTGGGAAGTGCGAGGACCAGAGAACTCCCTCTCCTACCCAAGGGAGGCCACTGGGGACTTTCCCAGACACTCCAGCACTCCGGCTCAGATACACTTTTCCTACAGTCTTCACAGCCCAGAGACCAGGAGATTCCCGTCAGTGTGGACAACACCAGTGCAGTGGGTTTCCAACACAAAACTGGGTGGCCATTTTAGCCAGTGCCTCAGGTTTCTGGCAAAAAACGGGGTGGCCACGTTGGCTGGCACCAGGAACACCTTCAAGACAGAACCGCCCATTCCCCTGAAAAAAAGGAGGCTGAAGGCCGGGAACCAAGTGATCTGGCTCGGGTCCCACCCCAACAAAAGAGTGCCACTGGCTTGAGATTTTAGCAGCCAACACAGCAGTTTGAGCTTGACCCAAGACAGTCAAGCTTGGTGAGGGGAGGAGCACCTGCCACTACAGGGCAGTTCTAACCTTGCCTGTGTAAACAAAATTGCAAGGAAGTTTACACAGCAGCTGGGCAGAGCCCAGGGCAGCTCAGCAAGGCCTCTGCAGGCAGACTATGACTAGACTCCCTCCTTGCTGGGCAGGGCGTCATTTCTGAAAATAGGCAGCAGCCTATCAGAGACTTATAAGCAAAGCCCCACCTTCCCAGGTCAGCACACCTGGGAAAAGGGGCGGTTGTGCATCCCACTTCAGCAGATTTAAACATTGCTTCCCAGCAGCTCTGAAGGGAGTAACAGAGCTCCCAGCACAGCACTTGAGCCCTGAAAAGGGACAGATGGCCTCCTTAAGTGGCTCCCTGACCCTGTATATCCTAAGAAACACCTCATACAGGAGAGCCCTGGATGATATCTGGCAGATACTCTTCTGGGATGAAGCTACCAGAGGAACAGGCAGTAATCATTGCTATTCTGCAGCCTCCATGAATGATTCCTAGGCGAACAGGGTCTGGTGTAGACCTCCAGCAGTCCTGCAGCAGAAAGGCCTGACTGTTAGAAGGAAAACTAAAAAACAGAAAGAAATACCTTCAACATCAACAGAAAGGACGTCCACTCAGAGACCCTATCTGAAAGTCACCAGCTTCAAATACCAAAGGTAGATAAATCCATGAAGATAGGAAGAAACCAGTGCAAAAAGGCTGAAATCATCAAAAACCAGTACACCTCTTCTCCTCCAAAGGATCACAACTCTCACCAGCAAGGGAACAAAACTGGAGGGAGAATGAGTTTGACCAACTGACAGAAGCAGGCTTCAAAAGGTGGATAATAACAAACTTCTCTGAGCTAAAGGAACATGTTCTAATCCAATGCAAAGAAACTAAGAACCTTGAAAAAAGGTCAGACGAAATGCTAACTAAAATAACCAGCTTAGAGAAGAACATAAACAACTTGATGGCGCTGAAAAACATAGCACAAGAACTTCACAAAGCATACATAAGTTTCGACAGCTGAATCAATCAAGTAGAAGAAAGGATAACAGAGACTGAAGATCAACTCAATGAAATAAAATGAGAAGGCAAGATTAGAAAAAAAGAGTGAAAAGAAATAATCAAAACCTCCAAGAAATAAGGAACTATGTGAAAAAACCTGATCTACATTTGATCAGTGACAGGGAGAATGAAACCAAGTTGGAAAACACCCTTTAGGATATTATCCAGAAGTTACCCAACCTAGCAAGGCAGGCCAACATTCAAATCCAGGAAATACAGAGAACACCACAAAGATATTCCTTAAGAAGAGCAACCCCAAGGCACATAATAGTCAGATTCACCAGGATTGAAATGAAGAAAAAAATGCTAAGGACAGCCAGAGAGAAAGGTCAGTTTACCCACAAAGGGAGCCCATCAGACTCACAGCAGATCTCTTGGCAGAAACTCTACAAGCCAGAAGAGAGTGGGGGCCAATATTCAGCATCCTTAAAGAACTTTCAACCTAGAATTTCATATCCAGCCAAACTAAGCTTCATAAGTGAAGCAGAAATAAAATCCTTTACAAACAAGCAATTGCTGAGAGATTTTGTTACCACAAGGCTGACCTTACAAGAGCTCCTGAAGGAAGCATTAAACATGGAAAGGAGGCCGGGCGCAGTGGCTCACGCCTATAATCCCAGCACTTTGGGAGGCCAAGGCGGGTGGATCACAAGGTCAAGAGATCGAGACCATCCTGGTCAACAT